AATCTTGAATCTTGAATCTTGAATCTTGAATCTTGAATCTTCAATAGTGAATCTTCAATGATCACAGATCGTTTTGAATTGCATTTCAAGACTCTTGATATCATTTACATTCTCCATTCAAGATTCACGATTTCCTTTTCTGACTGCTCGGTCCTAGTCAAAGGTCCAAAATCACACTTTCCAATCAAAGTAAAGACTCTTGAGGTCATATGCACATTCTTGATTCAGATTCTTGATTCGAAACTCACACTTGGCCTTTGAAGTTCAGTCTCCGTTACACAACTTTGAGTCTTGCGTATGGCTGTCAGCTATACGCGCTGAAAATCGGGAGCTGACGCTTTGACCAAACATTTTGGAGCACGACCATCATTCTCGATAGTCATTGAAGATCTTTGAACGAGACTGTTGATTGACGCACAGTACAATAGATACATTCAAAGTTATGGAACTACCCAACGCCGGTCCTTTCGTACCAAGCACAGGTACCCTTTGGTTGTGTTTCAACTTCAGAAGATAAGGATCACACTACTGACTCGTGTCGTATTGACATTATTCTCGTCTTGACTAGGCCTGATTAGTCTCAATAGGTCCCATGGCCCAGTCTGATAAATCATGGGTACATGCTATTGTACACACTACTTCCTCAATTTCTGGTGGCTCGTACTCGTGTTAAGATTATAGCCGACATTGCTCACTTTATGGTCGTTGAACGGGGACACTTCAGTCATCGAACTCAAGAGTGAAGTCCAAGTCTAGAGTGAGTCAAGAATTGCAAGTAAAAAGTGCACATCTTGAACCTCATTGGATTCAAGTATCACGTGGGGGCTTCACAGGGTTGGCGGGGGAAGCATCTGCGTCGGGCGCTGCTTCACCATTTGCGGCATCGTCGCGTCCATCTACCATCATCCTCTTGGGCTCGTGCTCGTGCTCGTCCGCTCGCATGGATCCCTTCCCACGGCTCTGCGCGCTCTCGAATACGAAGAATGCGACGCTGGTCAGCAGCGCGAAGCCCGCCAGCCCGACACCGCTGAAGAGGGCTCCGCGAAAACCTCTTAGCGTGTCGGTGCCTGCCCTATTGGTGTGCACTTCGACGGTGCCCGCTATCCCCAAGCCGATGCTGATACCATAATTGACCATGGTGGCGACCAGCGAGCCTGCCATTCCTTGATGCTCGACGGGCATTGCGTTGCTCAGAATCAACGTAGCAGAAGGGAAGCTGATGTCCATGCCCCACGGTGTCGTCAATGTGGCCACAAAGGTTTGAGCCCAGTAGATTTGATGAGCTGGTTTGAGTGCCATGAGCAGGTTGCCGCTCAGAAATCCGCACATGGACAGCATCATGAGCAGACTGGACTGCAGTCTGGTGATGAAGTAGAAGCAGAACATTGCTGCCGTCATGCCTGCCAAGCAAACGGGCGAGTTCTTGGCTGTGGCGAGCAAGGGCGAGTCGCCTTCGATGATTTGTTGAATCTGATACCTGTGGGTGTGTCGCCGTTCTTGGTCAGAGTCTTGCGCAGTGCCAGTACGCCGACGAAGCACTCACCAGTAATACATCCAGCTGCGATCGTCACGGAGCGCAGAGTAGCGTCGCGACTGTCAACAAATATGTTGCTGCAACACGCCAACCACATCCTCACTCACACTCCAAAGCTGGACCAGCCCGCACCGACACAGGCCAGCACAAAACTGGCTTCGCTCGAAAAGGTCCTCCAAGGCAGGATGGGATGAGCAACCTTGGTCTCTACGACGAGGAAAGCCGCGATGAGGGCTATGCCGACGACCAAAAACACAATGACGTAGCTGGTCTGCCAGCCCACAAGGGGTGCCTGATTCCAGGCCACGTTGAACAGACATAGGCCGAGGATACCGATGCTGGATCCGACCAGATCCAGCCTCTTGGCCGTTTCGCCAAAGTCGAGGCGCGGCACGGCATCGTGGTCTGCTGGGACGATGAAGGGAGAGCCGATTGCCAACGCGGCGCACACGATCGTGGTGAGCCAGTATGCCCAGGGCCACCAGGCTAGCTGCGCTACTAGACTGGAAAAGGTGGCGCCCAGAATGAAGCCGGTAGGAGCTGATCCGCCGTAGATGGCAAAGACGAGGGCTTTCCTCAATCCTGGTTTGTAAGTCCTTCCTAGGATCGCCAGAGCGTTCGGAAGCAGCAGACCTGGACCAATACCTTGCAGTGCGCGCAGAACATCGAACGGGATAGGAGAATGACGGTCGTAGGCGCACAGACCTGCTCCCAACGAGGCGACGGCGTACCATGTGAAGCCGACGACAAGAAGCCTGCGATGGCCGTAGACATCGCCAAGCCTACCTGATATCAATCTGATGCAGTGCAGTGCAGTGCGAGCGGGGGGGGGGGGAGGGGTGGGCGAATGGAAAGGAATAGGATGAGCAGTGTGCCGACAGCGGACGACGAGGTGATGCGAACGACTGACATGAACGTGCCGATGGTCAGCGAGTAGGCAGCCGGCATCCAACTCAGCTGACCGGGATCGCGCGTGCCCAATTGGGGACCGATGATGTGCAGCGGTGCGATGACCTGACCCAAGCCAGCCTGAGCCAGCAATTGTGTGGAGACGATCAAGCTGAGAAAGAGGATCTCGTGCAGCAGCGAGAATGGCGGTCTGCCCTCTGACAGCTGCGTCGCCAACGTCGACTTCATTGGCGGTGAGGCCCCGTGGGACGATGAGCTTGCGGGCGAAGGCATGCGCGTGGACGACATGCTGCTGTTTGCAAGCGCTGCGAAAAACGTGGGCGATGTCTCAAACAGACTCCACTCTGCATCAGCGCATCAGCGCATCGATGCGATCGAGTCGTCTCCGAGGCCTCGGAAGGCCGTGATGATGTCAAGCGCGCAATCGTCGTCGTCGTCGTCGTCGTCGTCGGTGGCCAGGCCTTGCAATGATCGATCACCAGCAAAGGTGCAACGCTCTCCTCCCCGCCAACGGACACGCAACGCAGATGAGAGAGGAGAAGTGCAGCGTATTGACGACCAATCAGAGGATCGCACGTGGGTCCCGAATCTTCGTCCCAAAGCTTCGTCTTGCTTGCCTTGTACGCGCACACGCACACGCACGCGTACGCACACGCACACGCAGTCGTGAGTCTTTGTTCTTTCGGGGAGGTCTTGCTTGTTGCGCTGGCTGCTGCGATTGGTGGTGGATAAGGGAGACAGCGATAAAGGCCGCGTTGCCATTCGTGACTTGGCGATCAACACTCCACCAAAAACTCCTCGCCCGGTTTTTAAGCTCTTATTTTTGTTGTGCAGCAGCAACGCTCGCCGAGGCTCAAACTGTGAGCGTGAATCGTGAATCGCGAATCTGAGTGTGAATCCGCGTTTGCCGCTGCGGTGACGCTGCAATGGAGCCACCACCACTCACCTCACGCCTGCGCCTGCGCGCCTACATGCAAGGATGCCGATTTGCTGCCGTGCGAAGGAAGGGTTGCTGTGTGTGTTCGGGTAAACCGTATGCAGCCGCGGCAGCACCGAAACGCGTGCTGTGGATTGGCGTGATTGACGAGACACGCGCGATCACATTCGAATCGGTGATTCGATGCCATGGCTATCGATTTCGGCGATAGCGACGACGATTGTTTCACCGTGAGGCGGCGGGGGATAAAGCTACAAAGCGTACCGCAATCATGAATCGACCGACAGTGGAGTGCGAGCGTGAGTGGCGTGAGTGGATGGATGCTGTCATGCTGTATCAACAGCAATCACACGTGCTGGGCTGGGGCTGGGGCTCGCATGCTGTGGACGCGTGCCTGTGCCTCTCTAATTGCTCGTTGACTCGCAAATGCAATCACGAAACACAGCCAAGAGCAACGCTGGAGCTTGCTTCGCACCTCTTCGTCGACGCCATCGAGCGCATCTTTGCTCTCCTCCGACTCCTCCTCCTCTCACCCATCAGCATGTATTCAGCCTCGACAGCTTGAGAGCCGAGCCAGCCCGAGCCGAACGGAGCCCAGTCCACTCCTCCCGCCCCATTCATCCACGCCCATGCAACATGCAACATGAGCAAGGCTCCCACCTCACTCAGCCCACCGGCGATTGGCGGCGTACAGAGCTCCGTTTCTCGACGGACCGAGCACGGGCAAGCAAGCACACTCGCACTCGCACTCGCACTCGCACCCTTTGCTGCTCGACGCACGCACGCACGCGCACACGGCTATATTGTACGGCCCCTTCCCGCACGGCCACCGACTCTCGCGCGTCTGTGCAATCACGAATGCAATGCCCGCTCGCCGCGACGTTTGGTTCCGCTCTTTCCGATCCGCAGGGCTTGCTGGACGCGTGCTGGATGCATGCAATCACGTGAATAGTCAAAGTGAGCATTAGGATGTGCAGAGCGAGTCACAGAACACATGGATGGGGGGAGATCTTTCAAACCTTGCGGTCGCTGCGATCAGGTCGTTGGTGTTCCATGTGCCATCACTTTCGACGGCTGTGCCTCTCGCATTCCTTGCCTCTTGATCACCTTGGGAGGCAAGATCCTCTTCATCGCCTAGCGCGGCTCAGTCAAGCGGGCAAAGTCCATGCATGCGGCACATCGCGAATGCGACACAGAGGTCTCGTCTCGGCAGTCGCTGTCAAGAGCAGTCACGAGTGCTTGAAGCATGCAATCACCGATGGCGAATCGCGTTCGAAGCGCATATTAAGATGCATTTGAGTATGAATGATTCGATACAGTACGTGCGCACCCTTTGCCGCGTCCCTTGACCACGCAGAGCGAGCAGGTGAGAAAGCCTGTGTCGTGCGTGCTCCTGGCCTTGCTGGTGCTGGTGCTGGTGCTGGTGCTGGTGCTGGTGCTTGCGCACGCGCACGCGCTCGTGCTCGCGCTCGATGCCCCTGCTCTCGCTATCGTTCCACCGAGCCCACCAGCGCTTCGCACTTGAGCTGCCAGACCTGCTCGAACAGCATGGCGAGCTGCGCAGGCGTCTGGATCATCCTGGCCCGCGATTCTCGCAAGTGGTGCACAATCTCGCACACATCCCTCAACGCATCTCGCTGCAGCCGTCGACCAGCCTCTTCGCTCGCGCTCGCGCTCGCACTTCTCGTCGACTGTTGCGACTCTGCCTGAGCCGTGCTGGGTGGCGTGCGCTTCAAAGCTTTGCTCAGCGCGGACGCAATGCGCCTCGTCCCCGTCCCCGACCCAGTGTTGGCCTCTTGATTTGCAAGCGGCGGTGAAGCGAGCGCATCGCCATCGTCTCCCAAACAGCCCTTCAACGCATCCACCAGGTCGGCATCCGTCGATAGGTTGGATGCGCCGAGATTCAGCGAGCCGCCTGCTCGCGCCGCCAGATCTCGGGCCAGCAAAGCACCGATCACCGTTCCGCTCCTACCAACACCAGCACTGCAGTGCACCCAAGTCGCACCCTCGCCATCGCGCGGCGTACCGTTGATCACACGCGTTTCAGCCCTGACAGCCTCGATGCACCTCAACAGCGCCTCGAACGTCTCTGAACTATTGACTCCGTGATCGGGCCAGCTCTTGAGGTGCAGCTGGGTCACGCTGTGGGCGCGCACTGCGTCTCGACCTGAGCCATCGGCAGGAAATGCGCCGTCGCCGTCGCCGTCGCCGCTGCTGCTGACCGGTGCGGGCCGAGGGCAGAGGCTCAAGACGCGCTTGACCAAGTCGACGTCCTGCAAGCTGTTGTTGTTGTTGTTGTTGTTGTTGCTGCTGCTGCTGTTGTTGCTGCTGCTGGCGCCACTGCTGGATGCCTCACCATTTGCGCGTCCACTGGCCAGCAGCTTTTGAAGGTGAGCGCTGCTTATTCGCTCTTCTGATTCGGTGGTCACATGCCACTCCCACGAGCGTGACCAGTCCCAATCGCGATGGCGATGGCGATGGCGATGACGATCATCGTGATGGAGTGCAGCAGGGGCAGTGTGGGAGGATGAGGATGAGGAAGAGGATGCCGGGTGGTGGGGTACATTGCACGACTTGTTGACAGATGGCCAGTAAGCATCGGCCTTGCGCTTGCCATTCTCGATGAGGGGTGTGAGGTTGATGATGAGGGAAATGTTGTTGTAGACGAGGGCAGAGTAGAAGGCGTCGAGCGTGTGGGGCAAGGGTGCTTGCGATGCGATGTACGCGCGGGCATGAGTGCGGCCAGCGTGCTCGTGCTCCTGCTGTTGGTCCTTGCTGGTGGGGCAGTCTGAGTCTGAGTTTGAAAGCAGAGGCAATGGGGAGATGCGAGATGCGTTGAGGTAGGCTGCTGATCGAGGCAGTGCGAGCAACGAGTGATCATCTGCGCAGCGAGGCGAGGCGAGGCGAGGCGAGGCGAGGCGAGGGCGAGGCAAAGGTGAGGCAAAGGCAAAGAGAAAGTCGCGGATGCTCGGCCGCATGCACATGTGCGCCACAACTACAACTCACACGGCAGCACATCCGCCCATCGATTGTCATCACAATGAATGCGAGCCTGTCTCAGTGTGGGTTGTTTGCTGCTGCTGCTGCTGCTGGTGCCACCGCTACCACCGCTACCTGCCCCATCCCCCCATCCCTTCGAGGCGGCGTGCCACTTGTGAGAATCGCGCTGATCAAAGGTGCGCAGAATGGAGCAGAGATGTTGATGAGGGGGCGAGGAGGATGGTGGGAGGCGGGCGAAAGCGAGAGTGGAGGCAGGGCCAGATGAAAGGGCTGATGTGTGCGTCGACATGGCTTTGATTGCGCGCGCTGGGAGTGGATGTGAGTTTGTCAGAGTCACAGTCACAGTCACAGTCACAGTCACGGTGGACCAGGGAGCGAAGGGTGGCTGCAATCAAATGGCAAGAATGAGGATGAGTGGGGTACGTGATGTTGGTGTGTAAAGCAGAGCAAGCGAGCAGACGCGCGGGGCCCATAATCATCAGCCGCGGTGCCATCTGATGTGCATCGCGCGGCGCCAGTCGTGAGTGTGAGTGTGAGTGTGAGTGTGAGTGATGAGTGATGAGTCTTGAAATAGCGAACAGCGAATCCAGCATGCATGCATGCAGATGCGCGCCAATCGTCAATTCTGAACCACCCACATCAGTCACGCGAGTGAGTACCGGTACTGTGGCTGTATGGTACACCGCGCTGAGAGCAAGCGCAAGCCACAACGGGCTTTCCGCTTTAGCTGCTACATGTAGCTGCTGTTCATCTGCGTATGAATCGCATGCATATATATGCGGGCGCGCCTGCAGACGATCGAGCTTCTCGCACGAGAGCAAATGCAAATTCAAAGTCATGGTTTCACATTCAAATTCAATTCGTGATTCTTGATTCAAGATTCAAGATTCAAGATTGCGATCGTGATTTTTGATTCTTTCGTGATTTCTGGCATTCGAGTCACGATCTGCATTCACACTCGTGACTCACATTCATATTCACACTCACCCGTCGCAATCGCAATCGCAATCGCAATCGCAGTCATCGTCATGGCTCGCTCATACGATGCGCCAAGCTTGCCTCAGCAGTTGATCTGCTACACGCTCACACCACCTCCCTCCACCACCGCCGCCAGCAGCAGCAGCAGCAGCAGCAGCAGCAGCAGCAGCGCATCCACCGCCTCACCCTCTGTGCTGTCCATCATCGACTTGGCCGTGGCCAATCCTCACTCTGCACTGCTCTCTCTGCGCACTCCAGTGCCATCCCCCCGCAACGGCACACTCACCCTGCTCTCGCCCTCTGCCTCTGCCTCCTCCGCAACCATACTGCACGCCGATGCTCATCGAGGATTGGTGCACGCGCATCGTCTCAATGCGCCCTCGCTGCAAGCCAGGCTGATGCCTCCCGCACCCATCGCTTGCCTATCCGCCTCTCCTGACGGCAGCTATCTCGCTGCATCCTCTGCGCTGGATGGGCAGGTTTGGATCTGGAATACCCTCACTTCCTCCTCTCAGTCCGCAGCCAGCGCCAGCACCAGCACCAGCACCAGCACAAACGAGTTGGAAGCGGAACTGGTGGCCAGCTGGCAAGCCGCATACAGGCCCATCGACTGCATCGCCTGGTCCGACGATTCCTGCACATTGATCACCGCTGGGCAGGACAGCAGAATCGCGGTATGGCACATGGCAAAGTGAGTCGAGGCGAGTCGAGTGGAGCGCAGTCACAATCAGCAGACGGCACTTGCG